AGGGGGTTGGAACTGGATGGTCTTTGAGGTCCCTTCCAACCCAAACCATTCTGTGAGTCTATGATGATGGAGAGCCACCACATCTCTGGGCAACCTGTGCCAATGTTGCATTATCCTCCCCGTGAAGCGGTTTCTTCCTGCCGTCCCGTGTGTGTCTCCCAAGCAGCAACTTGTGGCCATTGCCCTCACTGAGGAACATTGAAATTGAGGAAATCCGAGGACTGGGAATACCACCATAACTGAATGGTAATTAACTAGCAGCCTTCATCGTGCCATTGTTTAAAGTGCAATAGGGTCGTGTAGCTATCCTGTCTTAAATTACTACTCTCAATATTTTGGAAGTGCTCAAAACATTAATAGGCATTTTTGTTGTCTGTCTTAGAGCTGTAAAGGCTTGACATTTGGGAAGAGGGATGGGAGAAGGCCGCAGAGGAGCTGCAGAGCGCGAGGAGATGAGCCCATGGGGGACGCGGGCAGTGCTCAAGCTCGTTACCTCTGGTGTGGCGTTGAGGTAGAGACAGATGAGAGCGAAGAAGTCACTGCACGCCAAAGCTGGCTGTGGGGAAACGGCCATTGGAAGGAGAAGGGGAGATCCCAGCTGAGGACGGAGGGAGCTGGCGTGTGCACAGGGAGAAGCGCACCCGTGGACACGCGCAGCGGATCATCTGCGCCCTTCCACTGCAGGTGGTTTGGCTTGAGGGAATATTTTGTTCTGTCTCTGACCTCCTTTTCTTCCTCCAGCTGCCTCCTACACAGACAGCTCTGATGATGAGACCTCCCCCCGAGACAAGCAGCAGAAGAACTCCAAAGGCAGCAGCGATTTCTGCGTGAAAAACATAAAGCAGGCAGAATTTGGGCGCCGAGAGATTGAAATTGCTGAACAAGGTAAATGGGGCGCGTTCCTCAAGCTCGACGCTGTCCCAGGCTGTCTTGTAGGGTTCTTCCTTCCCCCCTAAATCCTCTGCTTACGAGGTTCACTATATCGGTGATTTCTTGACACCGTTCCTGTTAGAGATGGGAAAACTTTGACGGGATTTTGTGGGATGGAAAGGAGTTACGGCGTTATGCTGTGTGGCTCCAACCAACCGGCTACTGAAGGGCTGCTCTATAGTCACAGGCGTTTTGTTAAGATCGGTAGGAAAGGTGAAATCCCTCAAATAAATTAGGCAACTTTGTCTGAAGGCAAGATTGTCTCTGGAAATCCATAGCGAAGGCAATGCAGTGTTTCAGTAGTTGGAGGGATATTGGAGAGGCTGATCAGAGCAGTGGGTCTCAGGTCCTCCACCGTCTGAAGCAGATTTTCCTCCAGCCTCACCTGGGCGTTCGCAGGTAGAAAATTGAAAATGTGATGATCCTACATCCTAAATAGCCGGGAGAAAAAAACCCAAGAGGGTTGTTGGGTCCTTTTCAGCTGTGCCGTGACTTGTCTGATGCTTGCGCTCAAAGCTTTAGCTTTTCTGGAAGCTGCCACAGCTGGACAAGTTCGTAGGGGGACCACAAAGCAGGGCGAGAAGGGATGCTGGCTGCTGCTTCTGTGCTCATCCCTCTTTCCGTCGTGTTGATGGAGTTCTTTTCAATTTTGCCTTTCAGAAATGCCGGCGCTGATGGCTTTGAGGAAGAGAGCTCAGGGAGAGAAGCCGCTGGCCGGGGCCAAGATCGTGGGCTGCACGCACATTACAGCGCAGACAGCGGTAGGACCCCGTCCGCGGGCTCCAGACAGGCAGTTTCCCCTGCTTGTTCTCTAAAACAGACCCCAAGCGGTTGACATAGAGATGGTCTCTGAGGCCAGCACCTCACACCAAGCAAAAAGAGAACGGTCAGTTTTGTGGTCGTTCCTAGATAAACAGCACCTGTGCTTGAAGGTGATGGAACGCCTAAAATGCCTATATTTTGTGTAGCTACAAAAATGTCTCCATAAGGCGCCGCTCGAGCAGCGATAACTAAGGAAATCGAATTATCTGTATGGCATAAGGGGGAAGAAGTGGTGGTCACTGGTCAGCCCAGTTACACAGCTCAAGAGCTGTGGTTTCTCCTCCAGACATGGGACGGGAGCGCTTTCTCCTGACGAGATGTGGGACTTTGCTGAGTGAAATCTGCAGATGTATAGATATATATATTTATTTATTTTACACACTCGCACACATATACATGCTGCATATAGAATATACTTTGAAGTTCTCATTGACTTCACCCATTTCAAATGGTTGAAAAAAAAGTAATTGCAAGATTGTTTTCTGTGCAGCTCTCTAACAACCCCGATGCTGCTTAAAACCAACTTCAGATCCCCCGCAGAAGCTTTCCCACAAAAGTCCCAGTCGTGCGTTACTCTTTGCGTTGCATATTGCTCTTTGCGTCCCTCTTTCTGATTTTTTTTTTTTTTTTTTTTTTTGGTTTAAATTCAGGTCCTAATGGAGACTCTCGGTGCGTTGGGTGCGCAGTGCCGGTGGGCTGCGTGCAACATCTACTCGACCCTGAATGAAGTGGCTGCAGCCCTGGCTGAGAGCGGTAGGGAACTTCACTCTCTCTGTTCTTGCTGGTTTTAAAAAGATTTCTGACTGTCCCATCATATTTACCATCTCTTTGAGTTTTTTTTTCCTTCAGTCTTTCCCATTTAGAATAAACCTGTGGTAGGTAAACAGCACAAGATCAATCCCTTCCGTTGGTCTGGAAATCTTAGAGTGGTTTTTCCCTGGAGCGTGACAGTACGTAGCGCAGCTGATGGTGATGCACACCGTTAGGGGCTATGAGAACCTGGAGGCTCTTTCGCTGAAGGAAACAGAGCTAAATTTGATTTCAGTTCTGCTACATTTGAGTCATAACTTTGCCTTAAAGGGGCGAAAGAGAGAATTCGGGGGGGGCCATCGTTCACAAAACAGAAGCTGTCCCTGTTGCTGCTCACCTGAATTCAGATCCTGTTTTACCTGGGTAAGGCCAGGGATTTTACCGCGGGGGCTGCGAGACCCAGAAGCCAAGCGCCCTGGCTTGCCTGTTACCCCGTCTTGCTCGCTGAAGCTGCTTAATAATTGCTCATGAGTCAGAATACACGCCAGTAAATTCGTGGTGAGCCCGCCTAGCAGGAAGGTAAGACGTCTGACTTGCCGCAAGAGCTTGGTTTTGCAAATAAATGTTACCGTTGAGAGCGTGTAGTCCTCTCGTCTGGTGGCCAGAGCTTTTTCCTGGGGGAGAGGAAGAAATTAGGAAGCCTAAAGCTGACTCCTCTCTGCTGCCTTCAGCGGGGTGTCTTCAGTGGGTGGCTCTGAAGCTCTTGCTAGAAGGGAGATGTGGAAAAATCAGACTGCAAGCGAGACCGCGGTGGTGTCGGGAGCCTGGTTCCTCACGCGGGGATGTAGGGAGAGCCGATCCCCAAGGGACTGGCTCAGGCTGTGTTAGCACCCGTCTCCCTCTCTGTGCCAGGGTTCCCCGTCTTCGCCTGGAAGGGAGAATCCGAAGACGACTTCTGGTGGTGCATCGATCGCTGCGTCAACGTCGAGGGATGGCAGCCCAACATGGTGAGATGGGGCCGGCCGTAAAACGCTCGGCGCGCGTTGAAGCGTGGGTAGCTCTCCCCTAGAGAAGAAGGAGGGTTTAGGGCTGGTCTTGTGTTCTCCTCCTGAATTTAGACCTGGCTTAGCAGCTCAGGCTTGGTGCTAACGCAGCATTTACCTTCAAAGGGCTTTACGTTGAACTACACAAGTTAACTGACCTCAGCCTCACGGGTGTAAAGCCAGGGAGAAGGTGGGTTAAATGACTTCTGCGTGTGCAACCCTGAAAAGGGGTTGCATCCGCTTCCCCATATTCAATTAAATTCACACCTTTGGTTGATGGGAGTTTTCTTATCTAGGCGAGGCCTCTGTTTCAGAACAAAAACTAGACTTTTAGGCGATTTCTGCACTTTGAGCCTGCTCTTACCGTGCAAACACAAAACCTCAGGTAACCCAACTCCGTACTTTGCTGGTTTGTTCTGCCCTCGTTTCTAGGGAAAACAGAGAACCCTGAACGAGGTGAGCGGAATAATTTGCAGCTGTCAAATGTGCTGGTTTTGTCGTGCTTCCCAACAGGTTTTGAGCCCTGGAGCTTGTGATCTAAATTAGATGAAAAGCAATCAAAGGGGGAAGTTAGACGTGTATCTGTATGGTTTGTTTGCCAGTATCAGCTTGTTTGAGGTGGGGGGTTTTGTCCCTTCCAGTCTACACCTGCTCCCTTCCTCGCTGTCACCTTTAAAAAGAATTGTGAATGTCAAAAAATCCACCCCCGAGCTCCAAGTCTGAGTCTAGACACGACAGCGGCTTTCTTCTTCTTTCTGAGGAATAATTTCCCATCAAAAATGCCAGTAATTGAAGAAGTCCTCGTACCAGAATATGCATATGATGCTTTCCCAGGATCTCTTCGGACCTCTTCATTCTGCAACGTGCCTCCAGCCATCAGTGTGTTTTCAGACCTGCTTCTGGAGCACAGAAATAATTGCTGGAGAGCACCAAATGCCTTGGATTTCCCAAAGATTGGCACGCCTGGTTTTGGAGGTCCATGTTTTCAGAGATAAGAAATAGGATGCTGGACACTGGGTGACGAACAGCTGTGGAAAGGATCTTCTTCATATGAGAAGAGCATGAGCCAGCAATGGGCCCTCGTGGCCAAGAAGGCCAATGGCATCCTGGGGTGGACTAGAAGGGGGTGGTCAGTGGGTCGAGAGAGGTTCTCCCCCCACCTCTGCTCTGCCCTGGTGAGACCCCATCTGGAACAGTGTGTCCAGGTCTGGGCCCCTCAGTTCCAGAAGGACGGGGAACTGCTGGGGAGAGTCCAGCGCAGAGCCCCAAAGGGGATGAAGGGGGTGGAACATCTCCCTCAGGATGAAAGGCTGAGGGAGCTGGGGCTCTTGAGCCTGGAGAAGAGGAGACTGAGGGGTGACCTCCTCAGTGGCTATAAATACGTGAAGGGCGAGTGTCAGGAGGATGGAGCCGGGTTCTTCTCGGTGACGGCCACTGACAGGACCAGGGGCAACGGGTGCAAGCTGGAGCACGGGAGGTTCCACATGAACATCAGGAAAAGCTTTTTCCCCGTGAGGGTGACCTTGTACATCCCATGCAAATAAATAGGGATGTCTCGCAATCCAAAAATCTGAATATTCAGTTTTAGGGCTTCTGTGTGGCACTACTCCATGGGAACAGTTAGCCACAAATACTGAGAGTCTCCAAAACCCAGGGTTTTCTGATGGGAATAGCAGACCTTCAGAGGAGTGCTCTGTCTGGACAGGAATAGCTCAGGGTGGTTTTTTTTTTCCTGAAAAATACTGAATCTGCAGTGCTGAGAGTTCGGTTTCCTTTGCAGCATAAACTGGTCTAGGACCACGCTGCCGCTGGGGGATTTCGATGCTGCCTCCCACCGTGCCTCCCTGCCACCTCCTTGTGTTTTCACCGGTTGTTTTCTGTAGCAGGTTATTTTCAACCACGTTGCTGAGCTAATCCTGGCTAATTTTAATCTGCTTGGTTTTGGCAAGATCAACCGCACGGTGTCGGCTCTTGCCCCAACGGAGTTGGAAGGGGGGCAGGGTGAGACTTTTGGTGGCAGCGGGGTTTGAAGAGGTTGCAAAATGTCACCCTGAGACACCAGTTTCTTCCATGGAAGAGCCAGAGATTTTCTGCTGGAGAAGACATGAAATGAGGGAGTGAGAAGTCACAGCCGTTCTGTGCAGACAGCAATGTGAAATCGGTTCCTTGGAGAGAAAACACTGAGAGAGAAACTCCTGCCAAGGGGATGTGGATGCACCAAATCAGTCAAAAATGCTAAAAATTCCGGGTGAGTACTGCTGTGGAGGAGCAGGACTAGATATCTCCTCGTGCCTGGGTCAGAGGAGTGTCCCGTCCCCAAGGAGAGTAACTTCCCTGCAGGCGCGGGGTGATGGGAAGATGTCTTTTACAGGGGCAACCACTCCGGCGTGCTCTGCTCCGAGGGAAAAGCGGCAAAATCAAGAGGGAGGTTGATGAACTGCAGCCGGGAGCGTTGGTTTGCAGATCGTGCCTCTCGGTGGGCGTCAGGCAGCAGCGCCGAGAGGCAGAGCAAGGCTCCCGTCTCCAACGGCTGCTTTTCTGTGCGCGAAAGTTCTTCGCACGTCAAAGAAAGACCTTTTTTTTTTCCCCAGAAAAAGTCTGCCTGGGGAGAATTCAAATGAAATTTGTGAAGTGTAAAGCTGAGAGAACGGCAGGAATATGGGGCGCACACCACGGGCTTTGCCGTTGGCCGTTTGGGGCTGGTAGACAAAGGTGACCTTCCGTCAAAAACTAGTTCCTCCACGGATTCGGTTTGGGTGTTGGGGTTTTTTTTTCATCTCCTGCCCTCCTAGGAAAGAGGAAACTGCCAACCCCCAGAATTCTCTCTTAGAAAGAGGATTAGGTGCCCTATTAAATGGAGATTAATGAAATGAAGACGTCCTGGGAGCCAGGCTGCTGAATTCCTACCTCGGCTGGCCCAGGAGAGCTTCTCAGCCCACTTAACCCTTACCTGCCTCTGCTTCCCAGCCTGTGAACGGGAGGTGGATCTGGGGGTGCCTTGGAGACTCAAGAGCTGGGTCTGCGTGGGAGATGCGTGCTGTGCTCTGGCAGGACACCATGTGCTTTCCAGACATTCGTGGAGGAGCAGCTGCTACCCACAGCACTCGCCTTCAGTGGGAAATCTTGCGGTTTAGAGAGAAAAAGGTTGCGATGGTTCATCGCATTTCCAAGGAACTCTTCACCCATGGACGTCAGCGTGGCGGCTCCGTGAAGCTTTGTCGTGACAAAGCTCAGGAACATCGTCTTTGTGCCCTCAATGGGGCTTCTGCTGCAAGGAGCATGGGGAGAGTCTTAATTTTTCCTGGGTGGCTGCAGATGCTGGTGGGAGAGCTGCAGACACGTGGGGCAGAGAGGGTCTCTGTGGAGCTCCACCGCCCGCCGACGAGCAGAGCTGCTTCTGCCCAGGTTTGACATCTGCATTTTAGGACACGTGCGTGCCTGTAGGTGAATAAGGGCTGGCTTGGCAGTCAGAAGTGTTGGGTGTTGGCGTAGGGGGCGTGCAAAGAGGAGGAGAAAGAGGAGGAGGGGGAGGAGGACGCAGTCAGAAGACTTTGATGAAAAAATATGCAGAGATGATGGTGATGATGCAGTCAAAAGCCTTTGACGGTGCAGGGAATATGCAAAGAGGGTGATGATGAGGATGACAATGATGATGATGCAGTCAGAAGTCTTTGGCGTTGGTGTAGCGAACATCCAAAGAGGAGGAGGAGGGTAATAATAATTTGGGGCAACGCGCTCTCAGCCAGCCCAGCTAATGCAGGTCCTCAGCACTTCATCTGCCGCTCGGTGAAATCTGCTCCCTGTTTTATTCTGGAGTCTCAGTCTCGTGGGGGTTGTCACACTTCCCGCCTTGCTTGGGCACTGCTTGGGCCACCCGAGGCCACCTGGGTGGCATGAGGGCTCGGAGAAATGCATGTGTTTGGGTTTTTTCTTTTCTTCTTTCCCAGCCACCTCATTACGGTGCCCCAGTGGGTCCCTCTTTGAAGCATTCGGAGCTCAGCACCCTCCTGGGGCATGGCTGTGTGTGGGGATGTAGCAGGGGATGACCCGAAGTGGTTGGGATTGGGGCCACATTCATGACAAGGAAAGCGTGTAGGACACGAACGCCGAGACTCCTAATAAACTCCACTGCCTGTCACTAGCAGTGAGATTTCCTGCAATTATCAGAGGTTCTGTACTTACAGAGGTAAAAAATAAGCCTTGGCTTAAAGTCTTTGATTATCCTGGCGACACCACAGCACGTCACAAAAATACCTGAATAACATCAACCAGTGCAAAGGTGTTTCTGGAGCTACGTGTTAGACTTCCAGAGGTGTTAGAGCTTCTGCGTCCAAAGCCATTACGAGGTGTGTTGCCATATGCTGGAAAACACGTATGTGTGTTCTCCCAGCAGAGAACAGACAAGCTCTGAGACACCTCTTTCCACTGCAGTTTTTAGATTTCTGTGACTGAGTTGTTTTCACATCTGTCCTTTCCGAGGCGCTTTTTCAAAGGGCACCTTTGCGTGTTCATCTTTCATGTTTTTATTAAAGCAGTAAGTCTCCGGCTTTCTCCACCGCCCTGCAGTGTGTCATTAGGAGGAAATGAGTGGCTCGGGGGACTCGTGATCTGATAAAGAGGAGTTTTGTACTTCTGAGATTGAGGTTCCAAGCGAGACGAAATGGGCAGAGACCCAAAACTGTCGTCTAGAAGAGGTTCAGTATTTTTAATACGCAGTGGTTTATGATGCAGTTACATTATAATTGGCACTACTGGCTCTGCACCCTCCTTCTCCATCCTTCTCCATCCTCCTCCTCCTCCATCCTTCTCCTCCTCCATCCTCCTCCTCCTCCATCCTCCTCCATCCCTCCTCCTCCATCCTCCTCCATCCCTCCTCCTCCCTCCTCCTCCCTCCTCCATCACCACTCCTCCCATC